GAAAACTTTTAACATCAACTGCCGTATTGTATATGACTTTGGAGACAAAAATATAGACTGTTCGATGCGTTAGTAAACGGAGCTACCCTTCAGCATCGCTTTAAATGTTCAAATTAAAATTTTGCTCTATTGTCAACAAAAAAAGCAACACTTCAGCATCCTTAGTCCTCCAGGATGAGCACAGCAGCAAACCGAAGCAATAATAAAGGAGGATACAAAAAATGAAAAAAAAAACTTCAAGAGCCTTATTAAAATGGTTATATCTAAAAGTTCTATTGCTGACATTTAGTGTGTAGATAGAAATTGATGGTAAAATTAGCTGCATACAACAAATGGCAATGACAATAAAGTGGACTACAACTGATTTTCCTTCTCCTCCGCCATATCAGCTTCCGCCTAAAGTATGGGATGAAAATAGTGGCGTCAGGAAAGGTATCTCAAAGGGAGCAATTAAAGAAAACTCACGTTTCCATAGAGGAGGAGGTTCGAAGTATCGTCGTCCGTCTGCATCACCATTTGCTGCTGGTTGTTAGCGTCCCAGTCTGGGGAAGATATAAATTGAGGAGGATAACGCATGCACCAAACACTTCTGCCAATTGTTGCGGCACTTACCAGCCTGATTGATAACCGCTAACTGTGGTTGTCCATCCTCGCCCTGTATGAGAACCAAAGTTTGTCCGGGTTCAAGCTGAAGGTCCTCCGGCAACACCAACCGCTGAACTACCTCGCCACCGGCGTCGGTAATGTCGATCGTGGCAGGGAGATTTCCTGCTGTGCCCAAGGTGACTGCTTGTTGTTCAATGGCTACTGGAGCTCCAGCAACATCTGTGGCGGTCTCCTGGAGGCTCGCAGAGGCTGGATCCCCTTCTGATGAGGCTTGAAGTGTGTACATTCCAGTGTCACTGTCCTGAACAGCTCCTGCCACGTAGGCGATCTGTTAAATGTCCAATAAGCCCAATAAGTACGCGTCTACCTCCCTTTAAATGAAATCCAAGCTATATTTACAATTCCCAACTGGAAGCACAATTTCCCCCTTTGCTAAGCAGAGCCCGCGGTTAAGTAGTTCACCAGTGGGTGAAATTATTTAACAGAAAGTAACAGATTTTTAATTCATAACACCCCCTCCCACCTGTTGTTGGTGCTGCTCCTGTTGCAGGCGCAATTGTTCCTCTGCTTCTAGCCGTGCTGAGACTATTTCAGGATCAGGTTGGAGAGTAGCACCCTCCACCCCACACTCTTCCACCAGGTGACGTGCCAACGTGTTTCCATCCACACCAGAGAGGGCACATCGTGGACAGGCAAATTGGACGTCCGCCACCACTTCTGTCCCCACCTCCGCTGCCGATGGATATTCGACTTCCATCAGATCAGCGGTTGTTGTTGTTGTTGTTGTTGCTATTTCAGTAGGTGTTTCCGCTGTCGATGTTTCCACCTCTATAGGCGGCATATTTCGTATCAGCCAGTCAAAGGTGACTATAGGGCGGATCATAGGGCTACCCGTGTGCGCAGCGGCACCTACATCTGTTCCCACGGGGTACATGTGTGCTCGGTGGACATGGCGAGTGAAACCAGCAGCGCAGCAGGTGGCAAACACACAAGCCGAGCAGGGAAGATATTGCCTGATAAGGTGATGAATAGAACATCAATAACAAGAAAGATTCGAGAGGAAGGGAAGGCTTACTTTTTAAAGTTTGGCGGATGTAATGCATAAATAGCTATAAAAGGAGCATACTTACGAGGCGTTGGAGAGAAAAGGAGGAGAACGAGAGCATAGATGAATAAACTAGAGGTTTGATGGGTAGGTAAAATAAACGGATACGAATCATCAATTATGAATAAAAACAAAGTTGAGAGGATGACACCAATGTTCCATCCAACCCACTTGTGGTCATCTGAGGAGAGAGGATCACCGCACTCCAGGCAGGTGAGTTGAGCAGCTTCAGGTGGCAACTGAGTTGCAGAGAGGTCTTTCGTACGACTCGGCTCTGGAGCATTGAGAAGAATCACCCGATTCTCCTCCTCTGCCGCTGCTACTGCAGCAGCAGTTGCGGCCGCGTCAGCATCAGATGGAACAGCTACTGTATCGGTGGTTGTCAACTGATGTTCTTCTGCCGCGACATTTTCCCCAAGCGACGACTTCGTCACCTCGTTCTCGCCCATTTCTTGCTGTTGCTGAACAACAGGTTCCATAGAGTCAGCCTTAAAGGAGAGAGAAAAGTAAAACATAGTCTCTAGATGCAACAATGAACGTGATGAATGACACTCAAGCATATTCCATCCGAATTGCTAACGCTATGCTACACATGTACTTACTTCTTTTGATATTTCATTCGACTGGAAGAAGACGGATGGGATGGTCTTAAGTATGTCAATAAAGCGCTTTTGTGAAAAAAAGTTGCACATACTCACCATAAATTCCTCCACATCATGCGGCTCTTCTACTTGACTCTCCACGTGCTCACCCAGCTCCTCTTCCTGTTGTTCCTCCAAATGGATTTGAACTTGCTGCTCCTGTGTCATTTGCTGTTCTTGCTGCATTTGTTGCTCCTTCAACTGTTGCTGTTCCGCGGCAGCAGCGCTGCTACTGCATGCCTTATGATCAAGTCTCCGATGTACCTGGTAGTCTGACTTGTTTGTGAAGTTAAGACGACAAGCAGGGCAGCGACGCAGTTGGTGCTGAACCTGATGCATTCTCAGATGCTGCAGATAAACCTGAGTCTGTCCAACACCCGCTCCAAGACCTGCAGTGCTTACACCGCCACTACTCCCACCACTAGTAGGAGACATTAATGAAATGCCAGGCACTCGAGCGTCCGAAGGAGTAAAAATACGAAGACAATATGTGCAGAGGAGGTGATTAGAGCCACCATGAGCCTTTTTGAAGTGATCCAGAAGGTCCTCATAGAGGGAGGAACGAAAGAGGCAGATGCGACAGACATAAGGCATTTCGCGCTGACGATGAGTCGACTGAAGGTGGTGAGCTAGAGCCAAGTCGCTGGCAGCTTCTTTGCCACAGATGCGGCATGAGAAGCCCGTAGCTGCAAATTGAGATCCAGTACCTTCTGATCCATCGACCTTAGCCGTTTCAACAACTGTTGAACCACCGTGATCCTGCCGGCAAAGAAAGGCATTTTAGACAGGTCGGAACAGGATCCCAGATACCCACTTTCTCCAGATGAGCTCGAAGACAAAACGCGTTTGCGAGAGCTCGATTACAAATCCGACATTGGTAGAGCGGAAAACCGAGGAGAACTTGAATAGATTCGTCAACATGACCCATGATGTGATACATGAGTTTAACATTGGAGTAAAACATGCGCTGACAGACGGCGCATTTAAAGCGGAATTCCGCCTTTTCTTCAACATAAGTAGAAGAACCTTCCTGACGGCCGTAATAATACTCGTCAATGGGAATGCACTCTAAATGTGGAGAATAGATAAATGCGTAATAGGGGAAAAAGAGGCAATACTACCAACAGAAGAATCACGATCGTTGGTCTTCCTTATGGCGAGCCCCTCATTGGTAGAAACGATTTCAAGGCCAGATTCGGGACCTAAAGCGCTTGAAGCTGGAAGCTCTGGCTCTGGAAGATCGTCGTCAATATCCGCAGCACTCCTAAAAACAATGCTAGGTGGGAGAAAGGATCGAAGAGGGCGAGCTGAACCATGCAATTTCGCTTTTTCACCCTCAACAAAACATTCGGACACAAAGACGGATGGCCAATCGGATCGAATAGGTTTTTCGGAATCAAGGAAGTCATCAGGGACGGTTGTGTGCGCCTTCAAAACGGCTACTTCACCTTCTAAGCAAAATTAGCTTTAACACAACTAGCCTTCTGGTACGGGAAATTCCCAGTTGTTTTGCTGCAAAGTATTATAAACGGAAATGGCACCAGCGTGTTGTAAAGCATTCAAAGATTCACCGGTAAGTAAGCCATTGTCACCGATCATAACGGCCTCCTCTGTTATGCATACATTGCCGCAATTTGCCAATCGACTAACTGCCTCTAAATATGTCCGATATTCTCTGCCAAATAAGTGAGGAAACAACAAACTGTAAACGAGTTTGATAAGCTTTCAGCTGCGAATCTGACAGGGACTCAGACTCACATAGCATAGCAAGCGTGCGATATACTTTGGGTCGATTATCATTCCTCATCTAAAAAAAGAGAAAGGGATGACAATCGCAGAGAAGCACAATTAAAACCCCAAAAAAGCCTTAGCATAATACCATAGTTAGCTTCAACCATGTGGCACTACACCAATGCACTTAAAGTACCTCATTTGAATGCCGCAGCCGGCCTTACAAAATGCGCGTGGGTGAATGCGAAATTCAAGCATTTGCACGAATAAAAGAAAACGATCATAACATGCATTGATAAAAATGGTTGAGTGCAGAGTTAGGCAGATGATGGTTTAACTTGCTGCAGATTAATTGTGTCATAATGAGGATCTAGGCGATTGACTTTAGTAAAATACGCAGGTAATTGCAAGACATATTAGTATTTCTAAGTTTGACTTTATAGCGGAGAGGTGGAATAGTAGTTCGAACACTCAGCTAGTGCATGAGGTGTGCGAAGATACGTTCCCAGGATGACGTCGGCTTTCCTCATCATCACTCCTTTTCCAGTTCCTTTCTTTCCTTACGTGATATCTAATAAAGCTCCCTTAACTAAACCTTTCCTAAAGCCTGACGCTCAGAGGCCTAAGGATGGGTGGCCAGTCTCTACAGCCATAATTTGCGAAATTTAAAGCGATGTTGAATTTCTAACACTTTGTTTATGTGAGTACCGGACATTCGGTGGTCACTAGGCCATGCTTAGGCCAATTTGCCATGTACTCTTCGGGATACATGCATCCAGTCTCTCCTACTGCCTTCTTCTATTCTATGGGAAGTCCAGGCACGCTGCGGCATCATAAGTTCCTCTAATAGTCTGCAGTATGCGTTGACATTTACACTTTTGTAATGACTTAGAATCCTTTATGTGGTAGACGAATCCCTTCTTTTAGATTTGTCACCGGAGCAATACACCACTGATGCGTGAGTTTTTCGTCTTTTCTACATATCATGCGAATTTATAGAATATCATTTTAACCTAGTTTTAGAATGTTTAGAAGATTGCGTCTATAGTTTTACTTTTTTTTCTGATCCCTAGTTTGCATTTTTGTACATTTAATATTTGCCGATCTTTGTTTTGCTGAGTTTTTGGGACAGGTTGGCAAGTGTGGATGTAAGTTACCGCGTAGGGTGTCAACTTAATCTCGACAATGTCGGTCTGTGATCGGCCGAAGTTGCCCGAGGGTTTCCAAGATCTTTTAGAGGAGCTGTCCTATGAAGTTATGGTGGAGAGACCAGCTGATGTGATCCAGTTCTCAATAGATTTCTTTAAATCTCGACGTGGTCCGAACAACACCTGCATAACCAAAAAGGCTACTTCACGAAGAGCCAGCGATGATCCTCTTGGCAACGACAGATCTCTTCACCTTAGTTCATGCCCTCGCGACAAATTCTACCGAAGGCCTTAATAAACTTACCAGTGTATTAGGGTATCCAGGATACCTACGCCTAATTCGCCCTTCTGTTTCATTTAGTCCATGACTTCCTTT